CGGGCGGGCCATCTTTCCACATCTGTGCTATAAATGCCTCAGGATGAAAGCGAGCCTTGGAACGCGCCACGCGTGGCAAGGCCCACTTGATCCTTGTCCAGGAGCACGAGCTGCGCCAGGGTAAAATTTCGGAAGCCAGAAAGCGTTGTCTGGCCCTCGGCTGGGGCAGTTTTTGGGCCCCAGCTAGCCTCGCCGCCCAGGGGTGCCCCTCGGGGGGGGGGGGGGGGCTAGACCGTGCAGGAGTTATTTGAACTTTTGGCAAGATCCCAAGCAAAGCGTTGTCTCGCAGGGCAGGATTCTCCACGCCTAGTGTCGCCGCGGGGCCCTGGGAGTGTTCAGCGTCTACTTGTGTTACTGGGTGACCAGTGTTGGGCTGGGGGCTGAGAATGCGAGGCTGTGCAAGCAGCTAGAGAACCATGTGGTCACGCGCGGCTTAACCTTCATTGCGGGTGGCGACTTCAATATCACGCCGGGCGAATTCCAAGCCGCTTCGGAGCAGACGTACTTTTCGATCCAGCGGTGCCGACGCGCCACATCGACGATGCACATCGTCGCGAGCAGGACTTTGGCAAAAGCCCTCCTTTCGGTTGCCGTGGACCTTGGCAGCGATGCTTCTCCGCGCTGCTCGGTGGACCTCCATTTGACAGCAGAGCCGTTCTTTGTGCAGTTCGAGCGCCTGTGCAAGCGCGAAGTTTTGCCAGTGCTCAAACCAGTTGGGCCATGCCGCCCGCCGCCAGACTATTCCGAAATGGCGTCCGAGATGCAACAAGCCCTGGAAACGTTTGAAGATTGCGAACGCCAGGGTGGGATTCAGCCCAGGGGCCTCAGCCCCACCTGCCGCGCCCCCACTCCCGTTAAAAAGGAAGGCCTCGAGCAGGCCCTTATATGGGGGGTGCGACAGGTGGTGCGCTAAGGCCTGGGAGGAGCTCCGTGAGGTCTACCGCTGCGAAGGGGCCCAAGGGCGCCGAGGGGGCCTCCCGTGCGAGATTGGAACTGTTGATTTACGTCGTCTGTTGACTACCAAACAAAACCCCAGAACCTCGGAAGGCAGATATGTGGGTTGGCTTCTCGGACGCCGCAAAGAGACTAAGAGTCCCCTTCAGAATTCGGACAGGCGTTGCGCGCTTGCGACCGGCAAGCTGATCAGTCACGCGAGGGGGATTCACAGGAAAGTGGGGCCTTTTAAACGTTTCTGGCCGGAAGGCAGAGGATTTGCTTCTGTCTGTGTTGACTTCGCTCTGGCGCCCCTCCTTCCCAGGCTTGCGGATCGGAGCCAGGCAGATCTGCCATTTGACAGCTTGGACGTCCCTGTTGTCTTGGGGAATTCGAACTCGCCCTCCTTGCCAAAGAGCGCGGGCGCCAACGGGAGAAATGGAACACGTGGTGTCAGGCGGCCTTGGCGGGAGGGGCTTCGAGTGCCCGCTGGTGCATTAAGATTGCCTCAGACTTCAAAGAAGATGCTGTTGAGCTTCCAGACGGAACCCTCTCCGCCTCGTTCTTCAGCAGGTCCGGTAAACGAATGAACGCGTGGAAGTCGGCGTGGGGAGTTGGCCAGCGGCGGGATTTGTATTTGCAGGGGGAAATGGACTTGCGGGTCCCGGCGGGCCCCGATGTGGAAGGCGTCAGAAACCTGTCGCGGAGCTTCAAGGCTGCTACGATTGCCATCGACGGCTTCCATCCCCGCCACATTTCAGAGCTGTGTGATTCTGGGCTCAGCGTTCTCTCGGGGATTTTCACGGCGATGAACATCCTTGGGAATGCGCCAGCCACTTGCGACAGCGTATTGTGGCCTTGTACAGAATGCCTAAGGAAGGCAGGCGACCGATAGGTCTCTTCCAATCTGCCACTCGACTTTATTTTAAAGGCCTTTCGAACGCCTGCCGCAGATGGGAGTCAGCCTGGGGCTCCAGCGGGGTTTTCAACGTGGCCCCCATAGGTCGACCACTGACGCTGTGTGGAGGCAAGCTGTGCGCAATGATCCCCATCATAACCAGGGCAAATTGTGTGTTGCCCTCTTGGCAGACTTGAGACAATGTTACGAGCATGTGTCTCACGACGCTCTGTGGGCCGAAAGAGAGAAAGCCATTGTCCCGCTTTTTGCGTCGCGATTCGCGATAGCCAGCTACCGTTGGCCTCGTCGCTTTTTGATGGGTTCGGCTCTGAGCGAACCCCTCCACCCAGAGAGGGGCATTGCGGCGGGATCATCCACTGCCGCGTACGAAACTAAAGCCTACATGGCGCCGAGCACCGCAGATATCAGCTTAGGCCAAGAAGAGGAACTCACCATCCATATTGACGATGTCACGACGTCGGTGGCCATGCCGACCGTTGAGTAAGTCCTGCCTGGACAGCCTTGCCAGCCTCGCGGGGCAGGCGTTTGACCTGCTCGCCAACATTGGAGCTCCCCATTGCCCTTCAGAGAATGCAGCTCACGACCAACTCCCACGACGTGGCCGAGCTAGCCCCCCGGGCCCCGGGTAAATATGGTCACGCTGTCTCGGGGCACGTGGTGGGGCCTGGGGTCGAAAGGCGCCGGGGCCAGAAATAAATCTCGTTGGTCCAGTGCCAAGAAAAGGCCCCGGAAGATAGAACGCCTGCGAGGGGGGGGGAGCTAAGGCGGGAAAAATGTTTGCGCGCGGGCTCGGGCCCATAATAACGTGTGGTGAAGAGGTGCAAGGGCACCCCCCCCGAAGAAATGCGCGCCCTGAGGCTCCGGATGGCTAAGAGTATCGGGCAGTGGGGGGCGGGGGCCAACCGTGGCCTTGCCTGGCGCCTGCATCCGGGAAAGGGCCCAGTTTTTCATGCTGCCGCCGCGCTGAGGAGATGCTGCGCTGAATGGTGGTTTATCACCGACGCGGCCCTGTGTGCCAAGGACAACCCCGCGGCCCGAGAGTTGAAAGAAGCGCATGAACTTGCCGAGCGCCGTTTTGAAGCCCACCCCAAGAAAGATCGCTGGCATCTCATGGCCAACAGCCCGCTGGGCGATGTGATGCTTCCGCGCAAGCAAGCTTCATGGAATTTAGTGGACCATGCGAACGCGACTTCGGCCCGAGGAATTGCATGTAATTTTACCCTGGCCCCCCCGTCCCAGGTTGCGGACCTTTTAGGCAAAGACCTCCAGAGGTTGATGCTCCAGCGTGTCGTGGAGGAGAAACTCCATGGGGTTGAGAGGGCCAGAGCCAGTCGCATCCGCAAGAATGGGCCTTGGGCCCATCCTGTCTCTCGAGCTTGGAGCTTGTCCAAGCTTTGTGTGCAGGGCAAGCAGATCCCGCGGCAGGTCTGGTGCCAGGTCGCTCCCGCGTGCCTCCATGGCGATGTCCTAGACGTCGCCTTCCACAGAGTGTGGGTTTGTCCGTTTGGGGAACCTCGTCGCCAGGAGTCGGGCCCAGCCTTGATTCAAGGGGCCCTGGATGCGGGCCCACAGGGCCCTCTTTTCAGCTGTCTGTGGATGGACATGCCAGAGATCAGCAACCCACCGCCGCAAACCGAGATTCTGGGATACCTCGGCAGAGGGGGTAAGATTGAGCCTTTTGCGTTCGAAGATCCAGGGACGGAAGTTTCAGTTGATGGTTCGGTTGTTCACCCCGCCGCCTCCCTTTTGGCCCGAGGGGGATGGCGCGCGGTCGAAGTCAATGAACTCGGGGACCTGAAGAGGGCTGTCCGAGGTGTTCTTCGCGGATGCGTTTCGTGTGCTGCCGACGTGTCTGAGCAGCATGGCCTGCTTCACGTCTGCGCCCATCTTGTCCTGCAGGGGCAGGATTTTCAGATCTTCTAGGACTGCGGTGCGGTCGTGCACGGAGCTGCAGTCCCGATTCGAGCCAGGGGCGGACGACAACGGCAGGCTGGACATTGGCGCCAGATAAATATGCTGAGCAATTTTGTAGGATGGAGGAGACATGCAATCAAGGCCCACCAAAGCCTCACTAGAGGGGAGAGACCTTGGGAGGAGCATTTGAGGGTTCTAGCCAATAGTCGGGCCCGTGCCCATGCGAAAACAATTGCCAGGAATCAACTTGATCCCTCGGGCGTTGCTCGATTTGAAGCAGCTTATAAGAACCAACACGATGTTTTTGAAGCCTTTACTCCTGTCTTGGGGTCTTGGGGCAAAGCCAGGGATGTGTTTGGCGACCTAGCGAGGAGGCCCAAATTCCCGTGTTTTTCATGATGTCAGGTGGGCGCTTCATATATGGCAGTGCACCCAGTGCGGCAGATCCACTGCCTTTTCCGTGGGTCTACCATCGCAGCCCGTGCGTGCCTTTGCCCAGGTCGCTCTTCCAGCTGCTTGCGAGTGACAGCCGACCGACACCGCCCCACACCTTGTGGGCGGCGAAGGTCGAGGCTTCAGGTGCTCCTGTGGTTTTCTGTCTGAAGTGCGGGTCGTACTCCACGGGGGGAGCGGTCCATCTGGCGGACAGTTGCACCCGCATCAAGCCCAAGCAGATTAGTCAGCTCCGAGCCTGCAAACTCCCATACCCCAGGGGAGTGCGGATTTCCCGGGCCTGGAGGATAGAGCTCGGGATGACCCCACTCTGCCTGCTTGGGCATGAGGTGGCGTTCCCATAATCTCATCATTTTTTTTGTCTGGTGCGGTTTTCCGTACCGATCCCCCGCGTGGTCTGCTGTGCGGGCATTCGGGAGTTTCGAACTTTGTTGGGTGTCTCTTTCTGTAGGCCGTGTATGTGTTTATGTAGATGATGAGGATGATGACCGGGTTGATGACCACCAGGAGCATGAGGAGCAAGGAAAGAGGATTCAGTGTTCATCCCGTCTACCTCCCTCTCCTTCCACAGGCGTGGGCGAAGATGAGGTGGTGCGAGGTGGACCTTCCACGCTGTCCCCGCTGTACTTCTTCGCCCCGTTGGCTGCTGCCCACCGCTGATTCCTATTGCGAAGGCCTTGCGGCTTGTGCCGCCGACCCTGAAGGGGGACGTCGGCGACGACGATGACGACGATGACGACGACAGCGCTGATGCTCTGCACTGTGCCTGTTCGCCCCGCAGGCTGCTGCCCACCGCGGGCTCCTACTCGCCCCAATCGGACACGATCTTCGGCATCCTCACGCAGATGAAGGACGAGTTCGAGGCGAACCTCAGCGACGAGCAGAAGGCCCTCCTCCTTTTCGCCAGCCCCTGCCCTGGATGCGTACATGGCCGATCAGTTGGAGAGCAGGGAGGAGGGGGGAAAACGAATCGTATTGGGAGGTCGATCGATCATGGGAATAATCATGATTCCGTACAGTCAGGTCGTTGTTGGGCCTCCTGGTTTTTTTTTGGAGGCCTCTGTGGTGCCTCTTGGGAAGCTCTCTGGGGCCTTTTGGGACCTCACGGGGGCCGTCTTGTGGCGCTCGAGCGCAGTCTGGCCCTTTCGAGGTCGTCTTGGGGGTCTCTCGGAGCCGCTTCGCGGCTCTCGTGGAGAGTGTTTTTTTTCACCCTCTGGGCCTTAACGCGCGTTGTGCCACCCTCCTTTCTCCCCCTCCCCCCCCCGCAATAACGTGACGCTCCCCCCCACTGCGTCCTCGGCACTGCCGCAATGCGTCCAGTACCACAGTGTGTGGTGCTGGACCCATGCGGGGGGGCTGACGTTAGTGTATGCCCCCCCGCCCCCCTCCCTACCCTCATAATGCCCGTTACGGGGCTCTCTTGGAGGCAATAGCGCGCGTTATGCCCCCCCTCCCCCCTCCCCCCTCCGTCCTCCTCCCCTTCACCCCATGACGTAACGCTGCCCCCCCCCAGTGCGTCCCCAGCATTGCCGCAGTGCGTTCAACACCACAGTCTGGTGCCGACCCACACAGCGGGGCGGGGGTGGTGTTACGTCATGCCCCCCTCCGCTCCCACCCCCCAGTATAAAGACATGCTCTCTCCATTGTGGTCCTCTTGGGCCGTCTTGGAGGCCTTTTCGACTGTCTTGGGGACCTCTTGGCGTCATCGTGGGTCACCCTTGGGCCGTCCTGGTTCTCTCTTGGGGGCCTTTTGGGCCGCCTAGGGACCACCTTGGAGACTTTCTGGGCCATCATCGGCCTGCGCGAGTCCAAAAAGGCGAGAACGCAAACATCCTTCCAAAGATGAACCATTCATGGGAGGGGAGTAGCTGTGATTCGACAGGCTCACGCCACGTCCGCCAACCCGTTGGGTTGTGGGAAGTTTTCCAGGGCTGCGCTGCCGTGCTGTTTTTGGGGTCTTTGGGGGTCTTGAGGGCATCGGGAATCGACGTAAGCGACGCAAAACAAAAACGGAATTGTCTGCGCTGGCATTGGTGCGTAAGCTGCCCGCGTAAGGTCGCGCTTAAGCGCCCTCGCTTCGAATATGGTGTGCCGCGCGGGCGGCCCGCGTAAGCCGCCGCGTAAGTTCGCTATGCCATCTCGCGTAAGGCCCATCTTTGAGCGTCGCTCACGTGCTTTACATATACATTGATCCCAGATGAGGAGACGTGCGGATTCCGAGTCAGCAGGTGTTGTTGGCCGCTCCGCGGTGTGCTGCTGCCCCTTGCCCGCCGCTTTCTGCGCCGCTACGCGATTGGTTCAGCGTCCCCTTTTGCACCTCTTCCCCAGGGGTCCGACGCCGTGGGGGAAACGCAACATCGTTGGAATTCGAGGGGGAGGAGGATCCGGAGGAGGAGCAGGAGGAGGAGGAGGAGGAGGAGGAGGAGGAGGAGGAGGAGGAGGAGGAGGAGGAGGAGGAGGAGGAGGAGGAGGAGGAGGAGGAGGAGGGGGAGGAGGAGGAGGGAGAGGAGGAGGAGGAGGAGGGGGAGGAGGAGGAGGAGGAGGAGGAGGAGGAGGAGGAGGAGGAGGAGGAGGAGGAGGGAGGAAGAGGGAGGAGGAACAGGAGGAGGCTCTCAAAGCTCGACCTCTCTGCGGCATCCCAGGCCGGGCCGACCTGCGAGGTCCCCGGCAGCACGTGGGCCCGGGTGCCGACGCCCGTCGCGAGAGAACGGCGGCGCCAGGATCTTCGGGGCGGCACCCTTGCAGTCAGCCCGCACGGTAAGGATCATCGTCTTCCCAGGGGGTGCATCCTGAGCAAATCTCCGCCGAGGTACATCGCGAGTACACCCTAGGCGATGCTTAAGAAAACCCCAGTTTTCGTCCAGAGTCTCGATTATTCTTAACTTTTCAATGTAATCCTCAAGATTTTCATAGAAATTCTGGGCTTTTATTCAATTCCTGAGGCTGTGAATTTCTTAACCCATGATTTCTTAAGCATTTCGCAGGGTGTACATCTTGAGTGCATCGTGGGTAAATTTTCCCAAGGGCACATCTTGAGTACATCGCCTCCAGGGAACTCTTGAGCAACTCGCCGCCGACTCGGCGCGAGTCGAGGGTCGGCATACAGGCCACCCGCAGTATCTTTACGTCTTTTCGAAGATCAAAATAGCGTAATCTTTTGGTGCTCCGCGCGGATTCTTGGATCGGCGCACGGGCCTCCTCGGCGGCGTCTCCGGCGCCGGCCCTGGCGCGCTCCGCGCGCCAGGGAGGGGGGTCCGGTGCAGATCCAAGAGATCCGCGCGGAGCGACCAAGGTTTGTTTATGGCGTTTTTCTTCTTCTATCCTTGCCTCTTCGGTCGTCTTCGGTCCATCACCAACCACTTTCGATGGCCAGCTCCGCTCGAAGAGCCTCGACATGGGCGTCCACGGCCCTCACATTCTTATCCCGCATCCTTACTAGATGGGCTGACTGTGCCCCATCCTCACGGCCCCCTGCCCCAGAGACACGACCTTGACTTGCTCAAGTCGGGGTCCCCAGAAGTCTCGCCCCTTCCCCCTGGGTCGCCTTCTCATTTTTTGGGCGGTCCCGTGGCCTGGCGGGGGCCCCCGGAGGCCGAAAACGGCCACGAACCTTCTTCTTCTTGTTTTGATGTTTTCCATCACGTTGGAGGTCTGTGCCCGGGTCTCCCCGCTCCTCGAGGACGCGCAGAGGATGACGAGGCCGTCATGCCGATGCACACGTCGAGGCTCACGGGAGAAGCTGATGCCGCAGGATGATGAGTGCGGGCGGTGCCAGCGGAGGCTCCTGGCGGAGGCGTTTGCAGATCGGAGGTCCCGAGAAAGGACAGACCAGCGGTTGGCAAAGGGTGTGCGCGGCGGAGCTGCCGAGCGTCGGAGTGAGGTTGTGCATGGCGTGCGATGCGTGGGCCCTACGCGGGGCGCAGGCAGAGGGGGCGTCGCGGGAGGGGGAAGGGGGGGGCGGGGGCGGGGGCTGCGACGGGGCCGCGGGCGAGGCGGAGCGGAAGAGCTTGCGATCGGCACAGGTCGCCAAGGTCGCGGGAGCGGAGGCGCGCCAGAAGCCGGCGCGGGGCCGCGCGGGGGCGGGCGGCAAACTGCAAAAGGGGAGCAGAGGCAGACGAAGCAGCGCTCACGTGTGGAACGCTGGATTACGGGACCGCGTCTCGGGACGCGAGCCATGTGAAACAGTTTCAGGTTGAGGGTCGTGGACGGCAGAAGGGCGACGCCGTGGTCTGCGGGAAGTGTTGCGCGAGAGGCATACCTGTGAATATTGTCGTTGATGCGGCGAGGGGGCAGGGTCGAGAGTTGTCCTCTGTGCTGCGTGCAACAAGGGTCCCCGCAAGAGGTTCACAAAAACAGTTCGTGGGCAGAGGGTCGCTTCAAGAAGGGGGTGTGCAAGCGGCTTGCCAGCCTGCAGGGGCCCGGGGTTCACGGCGCGCGACAGGCGCAAAGTTTTTGAGTGCAGGGGCACAGGTGCGGGTGGCGCCCCCCGAAGGCAGTGTTTGCGAGGGGGGGCGCACTCCAACGAGGAAGCTTACGGTGAACGTCCTGCGGGGGAAGTCCAGAAGCATCGGCATCATGGAGGAGTCCTGGCGGCGGGAACTGGCTCCAGGCGCGCTCTTCCGCCCCGCAGAGGCCTGCGGGCTGCCGCGGAACGAGTGTGCGAGGACGTCCTGGGGCGTCTCGGGGGGGCCGCGGCAGCCGTGAGCGCGTTGGCGCGGGGCCGGCCGAGGCCCGACCCCACGGAGAGCCCTGGGCAGGTCTCTCTGGGCGGCGCGGGCGTGGCCAGGCGCTGGCCACGACCTGGCTCTGAGCTCGGTCGGCGATGGCACGAAGAGGGCCTTGCGCTGGCCGGGGGCCGGCGTCGAGGTGGCCGTGCGTGCGCAAGCTTCGAACACACCTGCGGGGCCCATCTCAAGGAAACGAGCACCTGGCAGAGTGACCTCGCAGCACAGCATCCCTGGGGTGCTCCAGGCCAGCACAAAATACTTGCCGTTTTTCAGGCCTCTTGCACGTGGCGACCCCCCGGCACCGAAGATTGCTGCCGCACCGAGCGTTTCAAGCCAAATCCACGCGGGTGGATGTCGATGGGCGGGAGGAGGAGGAATAATAGTAAGACTACTAATAATAAGAAGACGAGTAAGAATAACCTTACCACTACTAGTCATACAACCAATAATCATAGTAAGACTAGCAGTACTATCACTACTAATAATACTACATATGCGAGTACTATTCGCAACAATGACAAGAATGAGACGAATAACAATCGCAGTAGTAATATTCATAACAATCATGATAGTACGAACACCATGAATAATACGAGCACTCATAACACTGACAAGACCAATCCTACTAACCTTAATGTCGATGATTACCTTACTATGAGTAATAATCCTATTAATAATGATATCAATTCTACGAAGAAGAGGAGGAGGAGGAACTGGAGGAGGAGGAGGAAGGGAAAAGGTATGAGGACGGGTCGGATGCAGATGCGGTAGAGGCGGAAAGCAGAAGAAGAGGAGGAGCAGGAAGAGGAGGAGGAGGAGGAGGAAACCCTCAGCCAGCCGAGGAGGCCATCCAATTCGACATGCAACACAACAAGTGCATAAGTTACAAAAAAAATCGCCGAGCTTTAAAGTGCGAGGGCGCTCGCTTCGCGTTGCTTCATGTCAACTGCCCGCTGCCCAAAGGGCGAGCCCCTAAGCGGGGTCGACTCCAGGCCCGTGAATTTTGCTGGGAGGGCGTCCAAGGGGAGGCGCAATATCCAGGCTGAGCTTTACGGCCAAGCAGCCGGCCGAACTCGCCCGTTCTTACGGGATGGATTTTTGTTTGCAGGGGGAGGAGGAAGAAGAGGAGGAGGAGTGGTACACGAGCAGGGGAGGGAAGGGGGAAGACGGCGGAGGAGGAGGAATGACGAGGGAGGAGCTGCAGACCTGTTTGCCTTCCCCCTGTCCCTCGTGAGGCGGAGATGAAGGCAATCGAGGATTTCGAGGCGCTCAAGAAGGCACCGCGCGCGCCCCGAAGAAACAAGCGCATAACCCCCCCCCCGGAGCTCCACCCCAAGCGACGCCCTCCCCAAGCGACGCCTCCGGCGCTGCCCCCAGCGCGCTCTGCGCGCCAGGGAGGGGGGTCAGCGCCGATCCAAGCATCCCACGTGGCCCATGCGGACCTCCGAAGACTCATGTTCATGCCGTTTCTTCCTCTTCCTCTTCTTCTTCTGTTTCTTCTGTTTCTTCTGTTTCTTCTTCTTCTTCTTCCTTCCCCTTTTTTCCTCTTCCAGCTTTCCTCCCTCCTCCCTCCCCCTCTTCTCCCTCCCCCCTCCTGGGACGCGGCGGCCGACGCGGCTGCGAGGGGGGGCTGCCCGAGCGGAGCTCGTCCGCAGCGGCTCCGCCCCCGCCCGCCGCCACCGCTCCGCGGGGGGCGCGGTGGCCGCCCCCCTTGGCGAAGGAGAGCCGGGGGCGCGCTCGGCGGCCGACGCCGCTGCCGCAGGCGGCGCATCGGGGCCAAGGATTGAGTCGGGCCTGTGCCTGTAGAGAAGGAGGAGTCAGAAATAGTCAAGAAATAGCCTGGGGACGATGTTAGGATTTCTTTTTTGCCATCTTCAGACGCTTGTTTTGACCACTTTTCATCTTCTGCCGTGCAAGATCCGCCTGTAGGAGGACAAGCCCGACCTGAGTGAGGCCAAGGACGCCCTCCGCGCGCCCGAGAGAGCTGGGCTTGGCACAAAGCGCGATAGTCGAAGCATAAGTAAAGGCCTAAACATAAAATTTTGGGCGCTCCGCGCGGATCTTGTGGTTTCACGCCGGGCCTCCCTGGCGGCGCCTCCGGCGCCGCCCCTGGCGCTTTCTGCGCGCCAGGGGGGGAGGGCTCAGCGCAGATCCAGGAAATTCGCGGGGAGCGCCAACAGTTTATCTTTGTGCAGCTTTTTCTTCTTCTGGCAAAGCGCGACAGGGTAGCCCGAGCCAGCTCGCACGTTATTTCCAAGTGCGCCGCGAGCCGTCGTCGCCGTTCACGTTGCGGTCTGGCTTTCGGGGGCAACGATAGGGGGCGATAGGCATAGGGGGGATGCATCGACCCCCAATCGCCCATGGATCGCCGATGGGGGCCCGATAGCCCCAATCCGCCCAGGAAGGTGCGGATTCGCTATCGGGGGCCTATCGCCGATGTATCGGCGATGCATCGCCGGTTCTAGGTGGATGCATCCCCCCCTGTGCCTATCCCCCCAGGTTTCGGGTCGAGGGGAGCTCCTCAAAACTCTTGTGCCTCGGATGGCGCGGCGCGTCCGGAGGGCGGTGCCGGTCCCGGGGGCCCGCGGTCGCGTGCAGGCTCGCTCTCCGCGGGTCTCGTCGTCGCGCGTTCGGCGGGGGCCGCTGTGGCACGCATTGCTGCCACCGTTGCGGGCGCAGAGCCGCTGTGGATGGCCGCCAGCTTGCTGCTGGCTGCTCGGCCTCTTCGAAGAAAGTCCACGACGCTTCGGCCAGGATCTCGCAGGGTAAGTTCCCGAGTCATGCGGGGCCTCCCGAGACGGCCCTCGCAGCGAAAGGAGAGCGAGAATGAGCGGTGGCTATAGTTGAAGTGTCTCGCAGAACTGGTTTGGATCCTCCTGCAGCTTGAAGCCTCTCGCCTCCCCTCCCCCTCTTCTTCCTCTGCACGCTGTTGTGTGCAGGTGCTTCAAATGCTCCCTCCCCCCTCCTCCTCCTTCTCCTCCTCCTCCTCCTCCTCCTCCTTCTCCTCCTCCTCCTCCTCCTCCTCCTCTCCTTCCTCCTCCTCCTCCTGCTTCTCCTCCTCCTCCTCCTCCTCCTCCTCCCTCCCCCCTCCTCCCTCCCCCTGGCTCCTTACTGCCCCTCCTCTCTCTCTCCCCCCTCCCAGCTCCTTCCTGCCCCGCCCCTCGCTCATCCACGCCTCCTGCCTCCCTCCCTCCCGTCCCTCTGTCCCTCATCCGCCTCTCTTTCTTCCTCCGCCTCCTCTTCCTCCTCCTCCTCCTGTCTCGCTCCTCCTCCTCCTCCTGTCTCGCTCGCTCCTCCTCCTCCTCCTCCTCCTCCTCCCTCCCCCCCTTTCTTCCTCCCTCCCTCTCCCTCCCCCTTTCTTCCGTGCTCCTCGCCTTCCGCACCCTCCCTCCCTCCCCCTTCCTCCTCGCTCCTCTCTCCCACCTCCTTCCCTCCTCGCCCCGCTGACATCGGGGCAGGCGCCAACAGCCAGAGACACCGATTAACGCAGGGCAGAGGAGGCGAGGAAGCCGTCGAGCAGGCTTCTCCTCGGACTTTGTAGATCTGCGTATATATATATATACACATATAGATAGCTACTTGTTTTTGTGGATGTAGGCATGTTATATATCAAAAGAGAGGGAGAGAAAAAGAGAGAGAGAGAAATACGGTCAGGGTGGAGGCTCCGAGTGTCAGCGTGCTATATCAGCACTGCGCCGTGCACCAGCCGGCCCGAGGAGAGGAGGCCACCTCCCCAAATCTCCCAGGCCCCACAAGCGGTGGCTGGGCATGCGGGGGGGCGGCGTGTGTCCGTCTGTCCAGCACTGGGGGCCGTCTTGGGGCGCTGTTGGGCACTTCTTGGGCCGTCTTGGAGCGTTGGGAGCCCGAACAGGTGAGCATGCGAGCATCTAGCAACAACCTAAGGGAAGTCGTTGAGATTGGCTTCTTGGGCCCCTCCATCTTAAGAGGGCCTTGGGGCACTCTTGAGCCGTCTTGGAGACTTCTTCGACCGTCTTGGGGGCCTTCACGAGAGATGGTGGCGCCGAGAGCGCGGATTCTGTTTGATTTGCGATCGGACGTGGCCTCGATCATACGAATACCACATTTTCTTACGTGTCCCGAGCCTCCCCAGGAATTCGGACAATCGCGGGAGGGGAAGGTACCACTTTCTTCTTGGACTTCCCCCTCGCGCGGTCTAAAAACAATTTACAGGTGGAGTCAGAACGCAGGACTCTAACATTGGAGACTTGAAACTGGAATTCGAGCAGGGAGCAGCAAGCCTAACCCCCGCGGCCTGATGGTCCCACAAGGGGGCCGGCGGATCTTCAATTTGGGAAGCCCCGGACTGAAACGTATAGTTTTCAATGCTTCAATCATGTGAACGCGGGATCGACATTTCAAGCTCTGGGGCTTGGGATCAATCTGGAGCCTCGGAATTGTGTTTCGGTAGTTGTGCATTCCCAGGCCCGCTTATCTCACAGGACTTTCCCCCGTGGGGGTACACCTTAGGCGATGCTTAAGAAAACCTAAGTTTTCGTCCAGAGTCTCGATTATTCTGAATTTTTCAATGTAAATCCCAAGATTTTGATAGAAGTTCTGGGTTACATTCAATTTCTGAGACTATGAATTTCTTAACCCATGATTTCTTAAGCATTTCGCAGGGTGTAGGGATGACGTTTCTTGTCTCCAGGCCTCCCCTGTGGGATCCGAGCGCACGGGGTCGGAGAGCTGCGCCGCATCGCCGATGCCTCGGCGGTGCGGCTCGGTGTGGAGCCCGACTTCCTCCGCGCCGACGTCGCCGATGCACAGCCGAGGCACAGCCGGTGGTGCGTCGGCGAGGCGGCGCGATCGAATGACCCCGTCTGCTGGGACCCCATGCGGGAGGCCCCTCTTCGCTGTAGCTTGGATTCAGGAGGAGGAGGAGGAAGAAGAAGAAGAAGAAGCAGAAGCATAACAATACTAATAATACAAAGAATAATAAGAATAACAATAATAATAATCAGAAGAATAATAAGAATAACAAGAAAACGAATCATAATAACAATAAAAGTAATACTAATAATAATAATAAAAATCATAAGAATACGAAGAACACTCATAATAATGAGACTACTCATAATCATAATAAGAAGAATAATAATAATACACGTACTAATAATAAGACTACTAATCATAATAATATGACGAACTAATAATATTAATCATAATCGTACGCAGGATAATAATACTAATAAGAATAATAAGAATACTAATAATAAGAAGAAGAAGAAAAAGAGGAGGAGGAGGAGGAGGAGGAGGAGGAGGAGAGCAGGAGAAGCTGGGATTCCAGGTCGAGGAGCCTGCTCGGGGCCGAGGCCCGCAGGAGAGCCCCCGTCCTTGTGCAGCGCTCGTCACGTCAGCACGGCGCCCGCACTCTGCGGGGGGCGGGCCCCGGGGGCGGAGCGGGAGGGGGCACAGTGGTCTTCTCGGGGGGCGGCAGGTGCCCTCGCGCCTTCGGAGGAGCCTTGCGGGCCTTCTCTGGGGCCACGGGCGGCTTCTCAGAGGGCGCGAGGGCTTCTGAGAACTCCCGCCACCTGAGAAGGCCCGCCCCCTCGTCGTCGTCATCGTGTGGTGGTTGTGGTCGTGATCGTCGTGATCGTGGTCATGGTTGTCGTCGTCGTCGTCGTCGTCGTCGTCGTCGTCGTCGTCGTCGTCATCGTGTTGGTCGGGGTGGTGGTGGTGGTGGTGGTGGTGGTGGTCGTCGTCGTCGTCGTCGTCTTGGTCGTCTTGGTCGTCGTCGTCGTCGTCGTCGTCGTCGTCGTCGTCGTCGTCGATGTTCCGATGGATCGCCCCCTCCTCCCTGTTCTGGCCAGGGCAGAGAGTCCTGCGCCCCTGCGCAAGGCGGGGCTGCCCGAGGTCGTTGCTTCCTCTCGCTGCCGTGCTGTGCGAGCTCCTGTGCGCGGCCGCCCTCGTCCTCTTCCTCCCTCTCTGCACGCTGGGCAGTCCTCTCGGCGGCCTTCGAGCAGCCGACCACGCTGGAGCGGGCTGCCGCTGCCTCGCCGCCGACAAAAAAAAGCCATGTGCGGGCTCCTGGTGCAGCGGGGCCCGCCCGCGGTGCTGGCGCCGGGGATTGGCACCCACCTCCTCTCCTGGAGCCTCCAGGGCTACCCACCGTTCGTTGAAGGCAGGTATTCTTCGATTCCCCAGTTTCCACTCTACTTCAGGCGCCTTCCTGCTTCAATCATCGAGCTCTTCTCCCTCTTCTTTCCTCTCTGGGGGCGGGCGGAAGCCCGATCTGCTTCCAGCGCCTCCCCACTTCTTGTCTCTGCCCGCTTCTTCCGACCGATCGGTACGAGGCAGCGCGATGATTTTTGAGGGAGTTCCTGTGGAGCTGACGTTGGAGCCCGCTGGGGGGGTTGAGGCGGCCCACCCGGCACCAGTTCCGGCCAGCGGGGAGGGGGGATGCGGGGGCTCTTCCTCGTCGCCACGGCTGGGCGCGCTTCCCGCGGCTCGAGCAGGTTTGCCAGCCTCGGACCCGGGAGGGGCCTGGGGACCGGGTTTGGGCGCGTTTTGACCCCCCCTCTTGGCAGATTTTCCCTTGTCTCGCCCAGCGGAGACCCACCGGTCGCCGCCTCGAACTCGCGCCGTCCTTGCCATCCTGGCCCCTGGCGCGCGAGGGCGTGAGGCCCAAAAGTTGCGCCCTCGGGGGACATCCGCGCAGAATCGGCCCCTGGCGCACTCCCCACGTGCGTGTGTGTGTGTGTGTGTGTGTGTGTGTGTGTGTGTGTGTGTGTGTGTGTGTGTGTGTGTGTGTGCGTGCGTGCGTGCGTGCGTGCGTGCGTGCGTGCGTGCGTGCGTGCGTGCGTGCGTGCGTGCGTGCGCGCGTGTGTGTGTGTGTGTGTGTGTGTGGGTGTGTGGGTGCGTGCGTGCGTGCGTGCGTGCGTGCGTGCGTGCGTGCGTGCGTGCGCGCGTGTGTGTGTGTGTGTGTGTGTGTGTGTGTGTGTGTGTGCGTGCGTGCGTGCGCGCGTGTGTGTGTGTGTGTGCGTGTGTACAGTCGGACCGAGGTATGAGATCGAGGTCGGTTCGGGGAGGGTACCCTCGTGTTCTTCGTGGTGCTTGCTGGATGTTCTTGTGCATCCTGGGGAGGGCACACTTGATTGTTCTGTTTGCTTTGGCCGACGGAGGGTCTCATGTTCTTGAGGGATGTTCTTTTGACCTAGGTCCGACTGCATGCATGCGTGCATGCATGTATGCATGCACGTATGCATGTGTTGTTTTGTGTGCATGTGCATAACGTGTATGCTGTAAGCCTCAGAAGCCGGGCGAAGGCTGGCAAACCGGTGGCTGCTAAAAGGGAGCTCCGGGAAGTCATTTGTTTCTTCGGGCAGCAGCCTGTTTATTACTTAGCGCGCTGAGTTTTATTGAATCGCTTCGCTCATTCCGCCGGCCCGTGATATGGCATCGCTGGTTTTTGTCTGTGTGTTCGTTGCCCATGTTGCGCTCTTGGGGGCGGGTGTCGTTCGGACGCGTTGCGTGGGGAGTTTTGATGGTGAAGCAGTTCCCTGGGGGTCGTCTCTCGATGGGGCGAAATAGAGTCGTCGTCAAGATGCTTCTTTGGGGGGCCTCTTGGGGTCTGTTGAGAGGCCGTTCGGGGGCGCCTGGGAGACATGTTTGAAGCCTTCTGGGGCTTCTTTTGGGCCTCCTGGGAGTCTCCTGGGGCCTCTTGGCGACATCTTGGGGCCTCTTGGAGGCCTCTTGGGGCCTCTTTGGGACCTCCTGGGCGCCTTCTGGGACGGAGGGCTCCATTTTTGAGTTCTCGGTATCCCTCCTGAGTCCCTCTTGGGCCCGTCTTGGGGCCTCTTGGTCCGTCTTGGGCGGCACTTGGGCCGTCTTGAGGGCTCTCTTGGGTCGTTTCGGCGCCGTCTTGGGAGCTTCGTGGGCCGTCTTGGAGCGGTCTTGGGGGCCTCTTGGGCCGTCTTGGAGCGTCCGGAAGCCGAAAAAGCCAGAACACAAAAAACATCGAAAAAACCAATGAAAATCAACGATTTTGGCCTCTTGGGGCTCTCTTCGGAGGCCTCTTGGAAGGCTCTTGGGGCGTCTTGGAGGCCTCTTGGGCTGTCTTGGGGGCCTTTTGGGCCGTCTTGGGGTCATCTTCGGCGTCTTCGAGCGCTCTTTGGGCGTCTCGGGGGCCTCTTGGGCAGTCTTGGGGGCCTCTTGGGGCACTCTGAGCGCGCTCTGGGGAGCCTGAGAGGCCGCACCCAGAAGGAAAACCATCTCTGAGTAGACTTGGTCGGGCGGCGGTCGGGCGGCGACCGGGCGTTGGTCGGGGTACTTTTCGCCGGGGGACCCCCAGGGGCCGCCCCGCGCGCGCGAACTAGAAATACTGTTAATACTGTTAACCAGTTACCGGAGATCTTAGCACGCCCTGGCCCGTTGGGCCGGCGAATTCTGGGAATTCGTTTTTTCTTTCAGGAAAACCGTTTTAGCAGCCACGGAATTGCCAGCCCTCGCCAAGCTTCCGAAAGTCGTGCATGATTTCATGTAGGTATTTGTGTGGGCGGTGCCCGGGCTTTGCACCAGGCGCGCCCGCGGACCCCCCCACCTCCTGGGGTTAGCTCGGGCATGCCCCCCGACAGGCGGATTTTGAGATTTTGAACGAAGAAAATTCACAATTTGCAAAAATAGTCAAAACGATTCCAAACGAGTCAAAGAATATTCAAGACATCGTCCCCATACTATTTTTGACCTATTTTTGAATATTCCTCCTGTAGAGGGACACGCCCGACTTAACCCTGGGTTCGTGGGGTGGGGGGCTCCCGTGGGAGTGGGGGGGGCGACGGCCAGGTAGGGGAGCGCGCGGTGCCGACGACAGCAGGCCAAAGAGGAGCAGATCGCGGTCGGCAAGGAGAACCTCGACACGATGGAGGAGGAGCACTCGGCGAACGTCAAGGCGTGGGCGCGGCTGCGCGCGGCCGCGCCTCGGAGCGGGAGAAGGAGGAGGAGGTGGAGGAGGAGGACGGCGTCGTCGTCCGCGTTGTACCCCTGGAGGGGCCCAGGGACCGTTCTGGAGCCGATGTGGGTCGTATGAGGAGGAAGAGAAGGATGGGGGGGGGGAGGTGAGGCAGGCTTTGGATACACGTGCACTATTTCAGGCGATCGCGGACATGGATTGAGGGGGCGTGGATCAGCGAAGGGTCCCGTTTCCATTGGGAATCGTGGATTTCCGCCGCCGAGCGAGGCGGCACCGGCCGCATTTTGGGGAGGGCACCTCCGGCCGGCCGCGACCGCGCGCCAAATCCATGGATCGCTAATCCCTGTTTGCGCGCCCCCCGATTGTTGCAGAGCGCACTGGAGCGCTTTCAGCTAGTTCTGGGAGCAATGCGGAGCGGCCGAAGCGCCCGATACGGTATGCATCGCGTCGTGTCGACTGGCGGCTACCCCGCCGCTGGCGTTCGGCGTTGGGCGCCGCGGCGACCCAGAGTCGGTCGACATTGAGCGATCTGACGCTTCGGCAATGGCTTATCCTTCAAGGTGGAACGACCCCCGCGGTGTCAGGAGCCAACGCCGGGGTCGGCACGACGCGAACCTGCAGTGCGTCCTCCAGGTCGACAGGGCGTCAGGGATGCCCGATCCAGCTTTGCTTCCGTTTGTCGTATCATCGAAAACGCCTGCGGCGAGTCCCCGCCGCCGTCTTTCGGAAGCCGGGCGAGGGCTGCTAAAGCCCTGGCTGCTAACACGGCCCTCCCGGAAGGAAGAAACAACGTCCCGGAAGGAGGCGCGGCACGCGAAACAGTCAACGGGCTTCTTCCCGGAAGGACGAAGCCAACTCCCCGGGGGCCGATTTTAGCAGCCACGGACTTGGCAGCTCTGGCCCGGCTTCCGAGTCTTGGAGGGCCTTTTTGTATTCCCAGGCGGCAGCGTGCGTTACCAGGGGTCGGCAACACCCCAACATACTTACACTATATGTGCGTCGCCCCCCAAGGGGCGACGCGCGCACCGAGAAATCTTATAGTATATGCGTCGTGGCGGGCGCTTTCTGGCCACACCGCTCGGGAAACGATATACTACAGGATGGGTATACTATATGTTGGGGTCGGACGCGCGCCTCCAAGGCGGACATATAGTATTAGCATGTCCATGTGCGTCCCAGGAAAGGGGGGAGGGAGGGGGGAGGGGCAGGTATCGTAACGTTTCGCGCGGGCGTCGTCTGGGAATGCCAGACAGCTCGGAGGTCAGCACGACTCGTGGCGTGACCGGGGGGGGGGCGGGGGCGGCTGGGGCCGGCAACGGCCGCCATCGCGGCCTCCTCCTCCTCCTCCTCCTCCTCCTGCTCCTCCTCTTCCTCCTCCTCCTCCTCCTCCTCCTCCTGCTCCTCCTCCTCCCCCTCCTCCCCGTCCCCCTCCTCCTCCTCCTCCTCCTCCTCCTCCTCCTCCTCCTCCTCCTCCTCCTGCTCCTCATCCTCCTCTTCTGGGGGCCTCCGGGAGGGCAGAGATATGTGAGGAGCCTCTCCCGCCGCGTCGGCGAGTGCGCGGATCGGGGGAGCGTAAGACCCGGGTTTGCCAGGACTCGGGTTCGCCATCGTTTTTTGACGACCGCGCCTCGGATTTTGACGAGGAGGGGTTTCGTGGGATGTCTGCAGCGGGAGGCCTCGTCAAAATGCAGGCTCGGCCTCGTCATTTTTTTGACGACCTCGTCGGGCCAACCCGAGTCCCCCGTACCCGGGTCTTACGTCTCCCCGAGCGGAGCCCCCCCGAACCCTGCCGATGGGGGGGGCGCCACACCGTCGGTAGCGAATCGTGGGGGCCTAGTGTGCAGTGGAGACCCATGCCAAGAAGCACCCTGCTTGCCTCCAGGGTGCCCTGGGTTTCTTGGGTTTCGATGGTTTCGATATTGAAAGCGTGACGTTCCCACGCCAAAAATCAAGGGACGTCCTGGGGTCTCAGGGTTGGGTTTCTTGTGGAAGGTTTCTTGTGGACTGGCCTGCAATGTACCCTTTTTATTCCGTCTTTAGCGTCGATTGATGCCGATTAGCGTCTGGGAGTCGATGAGATGCGCCGATTTAGCGTCTGTTAGCGTCTATTTAAAGTGGGTTTAGCGTCGGTTAGCTTCGATTAGCGTCGATTTAGCGTCGCATAGAGGCGATTTAGCGTCTATTAGCGTCGATTCGCAAGGGCCGACACGATTTCATGGGAGGCTCCCACGAGTTGCCACTGAACACCCCTCCCTCATGTCAGACATCCTGGCGCCCCCTACAGAGATCGAAGTGGCTGGCCTGTGTGCGTGTTCGGCCACGTGCAGAGGGGGGGACAAGGGGGAAGGGGGGAAGGCCTCTCAGAAGCACCGCTGCCTCTTGGAGTGCACGGTCCTTGTATGTGCATGTGAGGCCCGCGCCTCCTGAGAAGCAGCCTCCTTCTGAGAAGCCCTCCCCCCTCCCCCCTGTACACCCAAATGGCCCAAAATAGCAAGCACATCGTCCCCAGACTATTTCCTAATTATTTTTGGATATCCTTCCTGTAGAGGGACAAGCCTGACTCAACCCTGCGGGTGGGCCCTGCGCGTCCCCTCCGGGGGCCTCTTCAGGGCCCGGCCGCGGCCGCCGCACCGCTGTCCTCTTGGCCGCTCCCGCCAGCCCGGCTCCGCCGCGCTGCTGCGAGCGGGGCCGCGACGCCCAAGTGCGGTTGCAGCCTCTCGGGGACGTCCCGCTACAGGAGGAATCTCCAATCATAGTAACAACATATACTGGGGGACGATGTTTGATGTTTTTTTTTTTTTTTTTTTTTTTTTTTTTTTTTTTTTTTTTTTTTTTTTTTTTTTTTTTTTTTTTTTTTTTTTTTTTTTTTTTTTTTGAGAATTTATGTATGTATGTATGTATGTATGTATGTATATATGTATGTATGTATGTATGTATGTATGTATGTATGTATGTACGTACGTACGTACGTACGTACGCACGCACGCCTGCCTGCCTGCCTGCCTGCCTGCCTGCCTGCCTGCATGTATGTATTCATGCATGCATGCATGTATGTATGTATGTATGTATGTATGTATGCATGCATGCATGCATGCATGCATGTATGTATGTATGTATGTATGTATGTATGCATGTATATATGTATGTATGCATGCATGCATGCATGCATGCATGCATGCATGTATGTATGTATGTATGTATGTATGTATGTATGTATGTATGTAGGTATGTAGGTATTTATGTATGTGTATATGTATATGTATATGTATATATGTACTGTATATATATATATATGTGCAAGACTGCAGTGGCGCTTCGCGCCATGCACCTTGGTCCTTGAAGCTTGGTATGCAGGCGGAACAGCAGAAAAGGTGAAGCCGACAATTTAGCGATAACTCCTTGTTGCCTTTTCCGGCATCGCCGTTATAAAAACGTTATTCATTATCCTTTCTCCGTGCTTCTGTTTCCTTATTTTCGCCATACCCTGCGCGCACTCCCCATCCTCCTCAGCTCTTTTTTGCGGAGGTTCCTCCTTGGAGAGCCTCTGGGGGCCTCACAAAAGTTGAAACAGGTTTTCTTAAGGCCTTATGGAGGCCTCCTGGGCGTATTCTGGGGGCCTCCGGGGGCTTCCTCGGGCCACCCTGCCTCCAACCGCGGTCTCCCTGAACGACCGGGTCACGATTCGGAATGCTTCGGAGGGTGTCTTTGGGCCATCTTGGGCCGCCATGGGGCTCTCTGAGGGCCATCTTGGACCCGTCTTGTGTTGGCTCTCTGAGGGCCATCTCGTGTTGTGCCGTTTTGGGGCTCTCTTGGACTGCCTGGAAGCCCTTTCGGATGGTTGTGGGGCGATTTTGGAGCCCCCCCAGGCGGCTTCCAACGCCCAGAAGACCGCCGTCTTGGAGCGTCGGGAAGCCTATAGAGGAGAACCGCAGACTTCACCAACAACCAACAGACAATGAATGATTTTTGCCTCGGGGGGCCTTCTTGTGAGTGCTCTTGGAGGCCTTTTTGAGGCCGTCCTGGAGGCCTCTTGGGCCATCTTGGGTCACGTCGGTCACTCTTGGAGCGCTCTTGTGCTATCTTGGGGGTCTCTGGGACGTCTCCGATGACCCCCCTGATCGCCCTAGGTGTGCTGGTAAGGCTTGGCAAAACGCCCTGCGAGGCCCGGTGGCCGCTTCGAGGCCCGTCTGGAGGTTCCCAACGCCCCAGATCCCGGGAGTCCGGTTTTTTTTTGGGGGGGGGGGACGGGTTTTCCCCCCGCCCGTGCTTGTAAAAATATACGAAGAGGAATATGGGGTATTTATTGAATCGCTTCGCTCATTCCGCCGGCCCTGCTTGTCGCACCTCTGTCGATTTGGGGGTGTACTCCTGAGGGGGTCGCAGTGACTGTGGATTTGGTTTCGGGGATTCGTCGCAGATTCTGGCGGGGTTGTCCTGGGGCAATCGTGGGTGATCACCGGTCTGGTCGGTGATTTGCTTGTGGGGTATTTTTTATTGTTCGTCCAGAATGAGCCTGTAGGGGGACGCCCGACCTAAGGCTGGCTCTCCTGGGCCTCTGGGGCGGTGAGCAACCACGGCCTGGGCGGCCCGGGACGAAGACCTGGCCCCCGAGTTGGGCGCGAGTTGGGAGGGGGGGAGAGCTGCAGAAAAAGGGCCCTCTAGGGCCCCTCAAGGGGGGTCCTTTCGGGCCCCAGAGGGGGGCCTTTGGGGTCCCAAAAGGGCACCTTTCCCTCCTCCCATTTATCGTCCGTTCGCGCCCAACCGAGGAGATGGTCGAGCTGTTTGGTTTGGACGCCCGCAAAGGGTACGCCGCGCTGCTGCGCGCGGTGCCGCGACGCCAACAGGTAAGTTTGGCCCTTGGAGGCTGGCTCCTGGGCCTCGGGTGAAGACCTGGCCCCCGAGGAACTGTTTCAAGTAGCTGATCGACTACAGAATTGATGTACCCCAGAAATCATTTTCCCGCCTTCCCCATGAAACACATACATTGAGTGTTCGTAGATCGGCGAACATTCTACGTATTTTGTGCAGATTCGACGAGAATGCCAGTTCTGGGGTAAATCCATTCTGTAGTCTATCCCCTACTCGACTGTTCGGCGCGTGGCCCACACTGGAGCCGTCTGGGGTTCTGAGGTGGCCAAGCACTGGTTCTGGCAAGTAGGAAGCGCGGGCAGGTTCGAGGCGCTGGCTTAGGGAAGGGTTTTTGCCTGTTTCGGTATCCGGGGGCCTTGTCCTTGGATCCGGGACCCTGAAAATTTGATCTGAGGCCCCCCTCCCCCCCCACCATGCAGTAGATCTTGGCTGTTTTTGGGCGCCTGTTTCGACCAGGCGGGGTCTCCCCCACAGGACGCACTGTTGCAAATTGTCGCCTTCAGCAGAAGTGTGGAGCCAGACCCCCCCCCTTCTTCCGCCCAGCGTCGAGACGCCGAATAAGAAAATGCTCACAATGCAAGCGGGGGTCAGCAGAGGAGGCAAAGGTACCCATATCGCTACCCTTTCCTCATTTTCCCTCCTGTTTGGGCCTCCTGGGAGGCCCTCGTCGCCACCGCTAGATTCGCCTCGAAATTCTGATCACAGGGGTCTGGGGAGTGGCGGTATCGGTACCTCTTCGCCTCCTGAGGTCAGCGAGAGCGCCAGATCTTGCAGGATCCGGCAAAGCCAGGGTTGCATTGTCCCAGGTCAGCGCGCAGGATACCGCAGGATCCTGGAGGATGTTGCAAAGCCTGACTGATCCGAGTTTGCATTGACCCGGGCCAGCACAAGCCCGACGAGAGGTTTGGGGTCTCAGTCTCGAAGACCTTTACTCGGCGGCGAGCCGAGGTAAACCTTCTCCGAAGACGCAGCACATTTCTCAGAAGGCCTGAGGGCTTCTGAGGAGGCCTGCTCCCCTCTCACTTTTCCCCCTGGACTGCCGCCAATATAGGCAACCCATCAACTTTTGAAGCTCTGCTCCGAAAGTTTGCCGCCGTGTGCTATTTTCGAGAGGAGGAAGAAGAGGAGGACCAGGAGGGGTAGGAGGAGGAGGAGGAGGAGGAGGAGGAGGAGGAGGAGGAGGAGGAGGAGGAGGAGGAGGAGGAGGAGGCGGGTTTCTCTAGTTTTCAGTGCCTCCTTCCATTTCCTGCTCCGCTTAGTCTGCATTCAGGTGTTTTAATTGACTGCCGCACACGAGCGCTACAGGCTTCTACCTAGAGTCCGCTCACCGCAGAAAAGGAGGATGATCAGGAGGAGGAGGAGGAGGAGGAGGAGGAGGAGGAGGAGGAGGAGGAGGAGGCGGATGCGGCGGCGGAGGCGGATTCGGATTCGGAGGAGGAGGAGGAGGATGATGATAATGATACCGATCATGTCTGTTCACTTAGTGAAATCGAATATTGACCTTAGACTGCGGAGAAGGGACTGGGGGGGCGATACATGAGGGAGCATCGAAGGCTGCAGAAAATGGGCCCTGTAGGGCCTCTGAAAAAGGCCCTTTGGGGGGCCCCTGCAGGGGCCTTCAGGGCTCCTAAGGGCGCCGCCCTTCAGGGTTTGAAAAGGGGGCCTTGAGGGAGGCCTTTAGGGCCTAAAAAGGCCATTGTAGGGCCCCTGAATGAGCCCTTCAGAGCCCAAATGGAGGCCTCTAGGGTCCGAAAAGGAGGCCCTTCGGGTCCCTTCAGGCCTCTAGGGCTCCAAGAAAGCCCGTTTAGGTCGCCCCCCCAGTAAGCGACGCCCAATAAAAAAATGAAGCCGGAGTGCCGGATGCCTCGGCCCCTCGCGTGGCCACATGACCCACCCGGGGCAGGCCGCGCGCGCCGGAGCGCCCCCGAGGCGCTGTCGGACGCCAAGGAGGACCTGCAGCTGACGACGGAGCAGCGCACCGAGGACGTGGAGTACCTGCGCAACCTGCGGCCGTCCGCACCCCTCCCTTTCAGGGACAGCGATAGTGTCAGCCTGTGATTCCTAAATGATCCCCCCCTCCACTGAAGCGGCGCCACTTGCGTCGCGCCTGTCGCCCTCTCGCTGGCGGCCGGGCGTCGGCGCCAATCACCGGCGCCGCCGCCCTTGTGTTTCCACTTGGCAGCCGCCCCCCCCGCGAGACGCCCGAGCAGGGGAATTATTTTTTTAGTTACGCGCCCCTCGTGCTTTTATCAATCACAAGCTGACGCTATGGGGTGATAGGCAAAGGGGGGGATGCATCGACCTATAATCGCCCATTGATCGTCGAGAAGGGTCTGATAACCCCACTCCGCCCAGGAAGGTGCGGTTCGCTATCGGGGGCCTATTGCCGATGTATCGGCGATGTATCGCCGATGCCAGGTCGATGTTTCTTCCGTGTGCCAGTCCTCCCCTCTCTGGAGACTTTTTAAGGGCCCGGCGGTAAACCGGGTTATCGGGCCAGCCTTTCCCCCCCTTCCCCCCTTTTGACAACCTGACCTCGTCTGTTGCGCAGGTCCGAAGGGGGTACGCAGTGCTGGTGCGCGCGGGCAGACGTTGGGCTGCATGCGAAAACGGTGGGTTATCGGCCGTCGCTTCCCCCCCCTTCCGCCAGAGAACGAGGGTTACCCCCCAAAATATTACACGGTCTCCTGGCGCGCTCCTCCTAGACCCCTTCGCGTCGAATCACGGCAGAAGGTTTCTCGCTGTTTTCGGCTGCTTGGGGGCCTTTGCAGGGCCTCGGGATTGTCAGCAAATCGCTGCCCACCAAACCACCCCAACCCAACCCGAAGGCCCCGATTTGCCCTCCCATTTCCAGTGGGGGGGCATCGGGGAACATCGAAGAAACACGTGTGGAAACCGTACCCTCCCAACCCGAAATTCGGGTCTTCGGGTTGGGGTGGGGTGGTCTGTTAGGTTGTCAGCAAACAACTTAGGGCGACATGCTTGTCCTGGGGCAGGCAGGGGTGCAGGAGGCCTCTGGGGGTCTGCGGCATGAGAAATCACGAGCTCGGGGGTGTTGTCTCTTCATCTCCTCCTCGTCCTCCTCCCCCTCCTCCTCCTCCTCCTCCTCCTCCTCCCATCCTCCTCCTCCTCCTCCCTCCTCCTCCTCCTCCTCCTCCTCCTCCTCCTCCTCCTCCTCCTCCTCCTCCTCCTCCTCCTCCTCCTCCTCCTCCTCCCCTCGAGTTGCAAAAGGTCACCGCCCACCAAACCATCCCAACCTGACCCGAAGGCCCCGATTTGCCCTCCATTTCCAGTGGGGGGTGGTCGGGGAACATGGAAAAACCACATACGAAGGCCTTACCCCCCCAACCCGAAATTCGGCCGAAATTCGGGTCTTCGGGTTGGGTTGGGGTGGTCTGGTAGGTAGTTAAATGGAAGCATCAATCAACCGGATAGGCGTCTGGTCTGCCTGAAGGCGCCTCTGGCGCCGCCCCTGGCGCGCTTCGTGCGCCGGGGAGGGGTCAGCGTCGACCCAAGAAATCCGCGTGAGACTACAAATTTTGATGTCTGTGCAGTTTTCTGTTTTTCTATTCTCCTCATCCCCTTCCTCTTTCTATGTCCCCTTTGTGGCCTTCGGGGGGTGGCACTAGTCGTCACGACCATGATCCGCCTCGAAATCATGGTCGGAACGCGCTCCAGTAGAGGCTTGGCGGCAGATATTTCCCAGGGGGGGGGGTGGGGGGCGCTGACCCCGACCAAGGTAAGGCAATGAAGCTGGACGATGCAAGTGTGATGATAGAATTCTGGAGCACACTCTGGCCAGGGTTTAGAGACTGATTCAGACGCGGCGATAAGGGCCCCCCAAAAGGCTTAAAATGGACAGCAAACTGTCACCCCCGACGCTTCCTCATCCTTGTCAGTATTATCAGCATCATCATCATCATCATCGTCGTCATCAGCCTCACCGCCATCATCATCCTCACCATCATCCTCCTCCTCCGCCTCCTCATCATTGTGGTTGTCAGGCCCTTGTCAGCCTCTCCTCCTCCTGCGCCTCTCGCTGTACTCCCTTGTGCGCCGCCATCTCGGCTCTCAAGGGCCCTTGAGCTATCATGGCGCGCCGGTGACGGACGCGCCCACGCTTCCGTAAGAAGGACAGAGGACGTGTTCTCTTCTAGCATGGGTCCCCCTATTTGTATTTCGTGTCTGTCTGTGCCCATACAGTCATTCCCGCACACTCCAGAGTGACAGCAGAGCCTGTGGTTGAGATCCACGAGGGGGGTCAGGATGATTCCCTTGCCATTCAGGTCTCGGGCGACATACTCCATACTCTTATCCCGTTTTTCCCGCTCCCTGCCCTATTGCACCGGGCGCCGCCGTGGATTCTTCAGACGGCGTTCAGCTTCAAGAAATGAGCTTCCAGCTGATCCTTGGTTGCAGCCATATCAGGGTCCTTTGGCAGAAATTGGAGGACGAGAGGCGTTCCCTGGGAAGGTGGTGACAATGTGGGCTGGTCAGATCAGGACTGGGCCCGCTGGTTTCGCAGCCCTGGCCAGCGACGCAGGCTAATGTGCAACAGTGTCATCAGGTTGGACCGCGCGGGGGCGTGGTTCGCGGGCTGCGCGGCTGCGCCAGATCGGCAGAACACGCCTCTGCGAGGACAGGTTATGCCTTTTATTCCTCTTCCACCGACCTGTTGGGGAGATGCCACTGCCAGATCCTCTGAACGCCAACGGGGACAATTTCCTGAACAATCGGAGGCCCCAAATAGACCAAACGACCTACCTCCCACCTGGGATGGAGAAGATCGGGATGCTCGTCTAGATCCTGATATGAAGGAGCTACAGGTGTGGTTCGCTACCGTTAGAACTTTGAAATCACAGCGCGGGTACCTCATTTATTGTTATGCCAAAGACGACCTCGATATCACCATTAACGAACTTACCGAGCAGCAGCTGTCTCCAGAGGGCGGCGGGCAGGTTGTGGAGAAACATGCCAAGAAGGCATTTGCCGATTACCAAGGCCGCAGGATGCCGAAGGCTTTCGAACACACTCCTTTATTTTATCCAGACGACACCAGTCGCACGCGAGATGAATCCCTGGTCAATTATATCGCGCGTAAGCGCGTGCTTTTCCGAGAACTCGAGAAGCGCGTGGCCCTGCGGACTTGAAAAGGGTGCGTGCTTCTGAGAGAATCCAAGCTCAATGACGCTGCGTGGGATTCGGTTGGGCACTGGACAGCGGAATAATGCGACTTTGGCTTGGCGTGTGAAAAGCTTCGAAAGCTTGAACGACCATTGCCCCCTGGCAAAGGCGGCCATCGTATCCATGGCATGAGTTCCTCCTCGCATTTTGTCGGATATCAAGGAGATGATGGCGGATGCGAGGATCAGGAGCCAGATCGTGACCATTTCCAATGCATTCTCATGCAACAGTCTGTGTTTACTTCGCCCGAGTCCTATGAGGAAGACGAGTCCATGTCTGAGGCCACCAAGTGCTTTGACGACGACGATGTACTGTTCGTAACTCGGGACTTGCCCGTCGAGGTGGTTCTACAGGAGGATGAGGCTGTCGCCGTCTCTGCTAACTGCAGCTAGGCACGACAGTACTTGCGCAAACGGAAGCCTGGGCGAGGCCTTTTCAAACAGCCCCCCCCCAAAGGGGAAGTCCAAAGGCTCCCGGAAGGGGAGGCGTCGAGGGAAACGTGCTGGACGTGCCCGATCGAAGCGGTGGACCAAAAGTAAGTTGACGAGTCGTTCGAAATGTGCCCGACGATGGGGGGGCGGGGCGCCGGGCTCGAGATGGTGCGAACGAGCCGGGCGAGCGATGGCGCGGGCGCCAAGCAGTCTTCGGCGGCTTCCAAGCAGTTCCCCTCGAAGCAGATGATGCTTTGCACGGCGTTTGTCAACGGGGACCTGTGATTCAGCCTGGAGTCAGTTCCTTCGCCTTTCCTATCTTTGCTGCTGCGAACGCTGGATATCATATTTTCAGTGGACTTCAGGTTCAGATGGGTTTCGGTTCGGCGGGCGCTGGTGCTCAGCGCGGAGTATGTGGCAGAGATCAGTTCGAGAGAATGGCGAAATATCTTGAAGATGCATGCGGTGTGGGGCCCACGCGCATGCCCACTTTGGAAGTGGGCGCCATGGGCATTGGAGGATCTACCAAGTGTCTTTCCAGCTGGACCTTGCGGTGCTATTGCGGTGCATTTGATTGCTTGTGCTGTGCCCTGGCTACTCCCAGTGGGGATGCTCGGACAGCTCGGCGCCGTTCGCGGCCTGCCAGGTGGCGTTGTCACATGGGGAGCGCGCGACGGCAGCCAGTCGAGAGTGTGCGGGGCAGGGGCAGACGAGCGCATCGCGATCAATATTTTTGATTTTGCCCGAGGAAGGTTGGCAGGGCAAGAAGGGGCGCGGGGCGGTCTCTCCCAGAACTCAAGGGCATTGCCGTGTCGCGGGGCCTGGGGGTGCCGCGTGCCGCGTGAATCCACGGGCGCCCTCGGCTCAAGTCTGTCTTTCTCAGCCAAGTGTCCACTCCCCCGACGCTCCGCGCGACGTTGAAACGCGCGGAGCGCATCCTCGCCAGGAAGGGGCCGCAGCCGGAACCGCCGACCAGGCCCAGTGAGCCTGCGATGACCCCAGAGAAGCGGGCGTGGAAATGGAAGCAGCTCTATCTAAATCTGTTCTCCATTCTGAACCGCGTGGCCACGGGGCGCCGCTCGGAGGCCCGCGTCGGGGCGAACGCCTGCGTGGACCTGCTCGGCATCATCCGCGCAACGGCCTCGCGACCCGCGACCTCTCCCCCGAGTTCTGAGGGTCAGCAGTGGGGAGTGGTTCGCGGTGGGCAGGAGGCTGGGGCCCGACGGCTCGGGTGCCGAGAGGACCGACCAGGCCGTGTGCGCGCGCCTCGAGATGGCCATGCGCCATCGGGGCAACAACAAGACCCTGTGGTGGACGCACGACGACTGCCGGTCGCGCTGGGCGAGGCCCTCGATCGACGGCTGCGCCAGCACGGGCGCCCCAGATCTCGTGGA